AGGGTGCCGTACTATATTGGGGGGCCAAAAAGGGACCGTAATTTGAATAACTACCGATTTTCAGGTGGGTAGTTACCGTTTTAGGAGCCTTATAGAAGGTCTACATACCTTATAGAAGCCCTTATATAGAAGCCCTACATACCCTAAACTCCCCACCTGTAGTTTCCTTTAGCACAGCTAAGTCTCCTGGTGACTTGCTTTTTTCTGCAGTTTTCAGGGCTGTCAGTGCCATGAGGCTTTTGGCGCGAGACATTGAGGGCTAAGTAAGGGTGTGGGGGGGGTTTTGGGCTTTGAGGGTTCAGGGGTTAGGGATCAGGAGGGTTTAGGGGTTAGGATTTTGAGGGCTGAGGCTTTAGGATTCATGATTCATGAGGGTTGGGCTGAGAACTGGATTGCAGGTTTTTCTGACATCGAAACTTTTAAAGACACCCTTACCCTTATGGTAACCCTTGATAGTAACCGACTGAGGGCTTGTTTTGCGGCCTCCTACGTTGAGAGTTGGGGGACTTCGGGCAGATGAGGGGCACAGGGTTTTGGAAACCCGTTGCAAAAAAGGTTCAGGATTTAAGGGTTTATGATTTGGGTCTAGCTTTTGGGTTTTGAGCGTGACTAGCTAAGCTTCGAACCCATGCGGAGGCGGCCTGCTGCCCGCCATCAGTTGTCACTCAGCTGCGTTGCACTGGAAATCGAAGCACGGGTGCATTGAAGTTTATCTACGGGACCATCAGACGCATGAGCCGTTCTGCAGAAAGCTTTCACTCAATAAGCTCTTTCTACTCTGGGTGCTCACTTGCACAGCGAATGTGAAACTGCCTTAGGATGCGGCAAAAAGGTAGTTCTCTAAACTAGGGTCCCTTTTTAGGTCCCCAATGTAGTACGGCACCCTTATAAACAGGACCCTAAAAGGGACCCTAATTTTGAAAACTACCCAAATAGTCGTAGGAATTAAGGCTGGCTGAGCGGCGTGGTGCCCGCAGAGCCTTGGCAAGATGGGTCACAGCTTTCAGACTGCCTGAAAGACAGGTACCCCCCCTTATAGCACCCTTAGAGTAGCCGCCACAGTAACCTGTAGACCTTCATAGTGGCCCTTGTCGTGACCCCTATGTCTCAGGAGGATGATGTGGTTGGAATCCTCAGGGTTCAGAGCAGTAGGGTTTTAGAGTTTAGGGTTTTAGGGTTTAGGGTTTAGGGTGGGTAAGGGTTTAGGGTTCAGGGTAGTCCATTATGTTTTCTTCGGGGACCTCAAGCGCCAGTGCTGAGAATTCGAAGGCATGCGTTGCCGGATTCATTTCCCCTGAGGCGGCTCAGGCCTTTGGGCTCAGCCCTAAAGTTCAGAAGCAAAGCCCGAGAGAATAGTAATCCTAAACCCCAAACCCTAAGACCCGGAGTAGGCCCTTATTTCATTTTTTAGGGTTGGGGCTCCCTTATAATTATAATCCCCTTAAAACCAAAAAGAGCACCCTTTTCATTCCTAGGTTACTCTTGGGTCTAGAACCCCAATAGCTTCCCAGGTCTACTCCCCCGTGGATGCCTTCGCAGATGCGTCCTACTGGCGCAGGACCCCACTGCTTTGCGGGAGATCCGTGGGTTCAGGGGTCCGATTTGTTCATCTTTGGGCCTGAGGTTGGTGGGCTCTTCTTAGTTTAAGGAACTTAGTTGGTCTGATGTAAAGAAAATCGATATATATATATATATATA